AAAACGTAGCTGCACTAAACTGGAAACAACTAAGACTAAACACTATGGTACAAAAATAATGTTTATTAAGTGCTGAATTTTAGTTAACAACCGGCATAACACTGTTCAATAAATGTTATTTGTCATTTAAGAGTTTAAAAATATTAATTTCCTTAAACCAGGGCAAAACAAAACAAAGCAAGAGAACTATAATATAGCCAAGTTTTTAAATGATGGTTTGTTGTTCGGGCTTTTAGTGACACCACATACTCCTTACATTTCCCAAGACACAGATCATTATTCCTCCTTGTATATTATAGGAAACAACTTGAATACATAAATACTGAACTATTCCACCAATTGTGTTCACTATTTTTAAGCTTCCTGAAATACTCTGGGGGTGACATTTACAAGACAATGTTACTATACGCATTGTACTCCCTTAGAATGTCACAAAATTTAAATTAGCTATTTTTCCAAAATCTAGAAGACTTCAAATACCAGGTTTTAAAGGATATTTTGCTATATAATTCATGAGAACCCTGACACTATAAATTAATGTTTCATAACTTACTAAATGGATGACAGAAGATACATCAGAATGAAATAAAATAAATAGCTAAGATTTTTAAAGATAATTCAATCTTTCCAAAAATCCCATGACACAAAACATTTATTTATGAGTTCCATATAAACATTATTGTTTCAGAAACTACAAGTTTAATATAGATTATGCTATGCCAAAAAAATTCCTTCATATGTTAAGATTTCCTGTTGCTTAAAATGAGAAAGAACTAAAACTGCTGCAAATTTTCAGAGAGGCATCAATGTCTAAGTGAGATTATGGTTCTTCTTTCAACTGAAGATACAAAGAGATAAAATATAAAGTAACCCAGAACAATAAGTAGTATGACAAATATAAATATTAAAACATTAAGATTTAAAGAAAAACATGTTATTACCTATAAGCAACTCTTTATCATACTGAAATGAAAGGTATAGCACATTGTAATAATAAATATACTATGAAACTGAATAATATTGGAAATTACACTACTTGATTTTCTACTTGTTACAGTTCTACTTATCTACTAATTTGGGCTTAAAATATATACCAATAAATTTCTAAGGTGCTTAGAATCTAAGATCAAAGAGTATAGACTATAACTTTTAGAAGATATAGTAAAAGTAGTCACATTATACTGTCAAAATCATAATACTCTTCCTTCAGCATTGTAAATAAAAGAAGTCATCTATTTTAAACTGCATTAACTCCTCTGATTTCCAAAAACAAAGATCATTCTCATTCCTAAAGGTTAAATTGGCCACTGAATTTTCCCCATGTCAAAATTAAGGCAGTCTAGCATAGCTCCTTCACTAAAATAAAAATTCACTTACATTCTTTTTCATAATTTATAAAAATTTAACATACAAATGGTTTATGTTTTTTAAAGCACCACTTAAGTTGGACAGCAATAAAATTATAATATAATAAATTTAGAAATAATAAGTTCAAATTTTAATTAAGGAATATGAAAGAAAACAATACATATTAAATGTGATCCAATTTTTGAACCACAAATATACAGTGTAAGTACACACAAACATAGGCCAAGATTATAGAGAAAGATTCCTGTTTGATTGATATAATGAATACATCCAGTGTCATATAATAGAATAAAAAAATAGGTACACTATGAAATGCTCTAAAACCCAACACAGACAAAAATATTTATTTTATACATCTTTTACTATTCTCAATCAGTAAGTTTTTCCAATTACCTATCCGAACCATTCATTAGGTCATCTTAATAAATAAAATTCAATTTATTGACAAAAACTAAATACATCTTCAATACCAACTAAAAGAACACTATCACCATTCTGCAAATGATTACAGTAATGTAGTCCCCAAAATAAGAAAGCTGTTTTTTATTACAAGGTGACAAATTTAAGTAACTTAATTATAAAATTATATATAAATATATCAAGTTAGGTTGCTTTAATCAAAAATAAAAGATATATCCATAAACCACCAGTAATAATTAACATTCTGCAAAATTTGGATTTCTCAAAATAGGTAAATGAATACACAGCACAGCAAGTAGTAAACCTATTTGTAGGTCTTTTTTTACTGATTACAGTAACTGAAAAATGCACTTTACAGTCTTCATCATACAAGTCCCCAAATTATTTTATTTAATATATGGCATGCTGAAGAATACAATGCAATATACAATATTACAAATTTTAAATTTAATTAATGTGTAAAAAATGGTTTCTTCATTTCAATCACAAACATAAAAAATATTACTCAGAAAGGCAAGATTACTTAAGACATTTTAAAGATACAACCTAAGCAAAAAACCAAAAATGATAAATATGAGAATATATTGACTATACTAAATGCAATGCACATACCATTTGCATTAAAATTTATGAAAATATCCCCAGAATGTGTCTGTATTCTATGTGTGTGTGTGTATACATATATATATGTATCTTGAAGAAAGTTTTTGTCAAATACTGCGGTATTTTACCTAAGCCTTTTGAAAACAGTTACATTCTGTTTCAAAACTTAGGCAATTTGAGAAAATCCATTAGGTCACGACCATAGTACACTTTCCCCAAATACACTATCTCGCCAAATGAGAAACAGAAAAATGTTTCGTGAAATAAACATCACGCATATTCATTCCAATAGAATACACAGAGTCATAAATACATACATAAAACACGCAAATATGGGCTTCTGAATTATTGCATAATCCTATAAGAAATTCTTTATAAGTTGGCATAAATAGCAGCTTTAAAATTTAGTTTATCTGAGATGAGCGAAGTAAGTGTGCCTTAAGTGTACTTGCATATATAAGTAAAAAAAGTTGAAAGGTGTTGAGAAGTTGTTATGTAGAATAGCAGGACCTTAAGTAATGCCACAGACTTGTGATCAAGTGTGAACAGGAAAACTATTAAAATTAAAATATAATAGAGAGATGCATCTGTCCGAACAGGTAATAACCTAGTGAAAATTTTATTAAAATACAAATTGTTCAGAATTATTAAAGCTTCTTTTAACTTATAATCTTTAGTTTATCCTTAAAATTGATTCCAGAGTGTGTGATTGGTTTCCACCTGTTACAGGCAGAGTATAAGCCTTCTTTTATTCAGACATTTCAACTCACATTTGATCGGGTTACGTCACCACACACACAAATTTTATTCAACGCATTCCAGTTTTCCTTTTTTTTAACGAATATTCTAGTTCTATACAAATAACATGAGTCAGAACTATAAATAATATAACAAATTTCAATGTAAAATGAACAAATAAACCACTAAGTGGACCAAAAACAAAAGATCTAATTCTTGGTGTATCCCTTCCAAACCACTGAAAATAAACTATATTCATATGAAAAGGCATTTAATTTACTATTTGGAATACCCATGGTAAACACCAATTTTCTAAAATATCCCTGAACATCTGATACTACCTCATGTATAATGCAAAAAAAGCTATTTCATTTTCGCCTACTGAAAGTGAATTTCATTTATCACTGCAGTCTTTTCCTAGAACTAACACGTTATTAATTTTTCAATCAAGCTCTTTTGAGCGCTTTTATTTGTACTATGGGTTTTCACAATCCCACAATGATTTTTCCATCATCATACATCTTTTAAATGTGCACATATGAATATGTTAGCAAACTTTCTTAATACATAAGGAAAGTTTCAGAGACAAGGAAAGCCATCTACAAAACTACATTCATAGGAAACAAACTTTTGAAATAAAAGTCATATCTAACAATTACATTTTAATTTAATAAATTTGTTTACCAAATGTAACTACACACAATTTACATAACTAAATGATAGTTTCAACCATTCTAAAACCTTCTTATCCAGCATAATGGTCCATTTTCTACCAACAAGTGATTGGCTCTGAAAAAGAAATCCTCCAAATGTTCTGCTTGCATTCATGCCAGATGTCTTTGCTGTATTAAAGAACTCTTACTGAATTAGACCACTAAAAGCAAATCAGCTTTTCTTTTCTACCAGGAAAAAAAAAATAAGCAGTATCGGTTCCCCTCAGCACTGAGTAAATACTTTTTTATAACTATAAAGATAAGATTTTTTAAAATTGCAGAAGCTACATCTAGGTTTAAGCAAATCAGTTAACACTTTATCTAGGCGATACACTATTCCCTTATGGAGTTTTTCCAATTAAACTTAAAAGCCATATATTGAGTAGCAAAATTATTACTTTAAGAAAAAGAAGGAAGATGAGCACGTAGAACTGTGTAACACCTGAAATTTAAAAAGCACACTGAAAAGTACCAAAAAAATTATACCACCTAGGAAACTTGCCATATTCTAATGAGTTACAGTACCAAACAACTGTTAACGTATTTTAATTAAATACATCTCTTAAGAACACAGATTCTGAAGCATTATTTTACTCCTGACATAATATATTTTTATCACAATTACATTAAAAACACAATATTTAAAAAATCTGAAGAGGCAGTACTTGTCCTCTTTCCTTCACTCCAGGGCCAACAAACAAAGCAATGAAGCAGAAAGAGGTACATAATGGATTTAGAAGTAAATGGTCCATTCTTTAAGAAGGCTTCCTACCCACTCTTCTGAATTCACTCTAGACTAATTGTCATTACAATGATGTCTGAAAACTTCAGAAGAAACCTATTTCCTGATGCCAGCTGTCAAGACTTCTATCTTTAAATTTCAGTTTTTTTCCCCAATTAGAAAGTATTTAGCAATACCCAGAAGATTCATCTCCCAATTGGTTTAAATCACAGACACAGTATATTATAGAAAAAAGACATGCTCAACAAAGGAAATAGTCTTTAAGAATTTCCACAAACATTCTAGTACAGCAACTACATAAATAAAATTAAGTTCACACTATTAAGAATTTCTTTCAATACAGCACACAACACACGAAGAGCTTCTTTTTCTTTCCTTGGGGGTTTATCAAAAAATCTCTTCACCATTGCACCTACCTGGGTAAAAATCTTTGGACTTAGACAGCTTGATGGTGGCTCCTGTTTCTTTTTGCAACTGAACAATTGTCTGTCCTCCCTTCCCAATTATAGATCCAGCAGCATAACTAGGTATGAGAACCTTTAGAAAATATTGGCCGTCTTCTGAAAAATGCAAAGAAATATACTTTGTTAACATGATAATTTAAACTTTGTATCCCCTCTCCACCCTCAAGAGAGAAAAACAGCAGTTAAAAACACTGGGCACATAGCTGCAGGAAATATGGGGTTACATTTTTTAAAAGAACAAAAATAAGCCAATTACACTGAAAAATAAATTTGTACAAATGTTTCCCATTTTGTAGGATTTATATTTTCAAACTTGGAATTAAAATAAACATGTTCTATTATTTTGCAGCACTGTAGGAACTGATGACTAAATTCCAGTTGTTATTCCAAACATGGAAGTCTTCCAATGCTATCTGTGGTTACTATGGTAAAACAAAATGAACCGACTGTTTAACGAAACTTCAGAGATTTATAAAACGACAGACCTTCTCTTAACATACTGCAAAATAAGTAAACGGACTGTAAATGGTGATGAACTATATTTGTTTGACATTAGCAAACATGTAAGGACTACAATTAGCCATTGCCTGTATCCTACTTAAAGTATGCAAAACAATCATTCTCCCACCAAATAAACCACCCAAACTGTAGGGTGTATTCCAAGCCTTCAACAACTGCCAGGAAATAACTCAAAGTGATTCGGACTGGCAAATCTAACTAATCCTGGTGTATTTCTTTAGTACTTCTTAGTCTACCATGATCTCCTGTAAGCTCATTAATTAAAAGACCTTAAGAAGAATTCTGCCAATACTAAAAAGCTTAAGAGTCATTTATATCAAATACACTTAAAAGTGACCGAACAGATAATGTTCCTTCTCCAAAATAACTACAATATTTAAAACGGAGAGGGGATACATGAACCGAGAAAGAGTGAAATGAAAGGTTTTAGAAAATAGAGCCAACTCCATAAACTTTAATTTCCGTCACTGATCACGTCTTAAATAGGAAACACCCCGGTAAATCTAGCTTCCTTAAGTGAATGAACATTCCAAATCTTGCAGGTGTGTCATTCGCAAGACCCCCATCCGTCTCTAATGTACATGCTGTAGATAAATTCACCTCTGCCTCGATGCATTGGGTGCATTGTTAGGAAGACTCCAGTGCAAATGAAGAAGCAATACCGGTCCCGTTATAACTCATCTTCCCAGGAAGCGCAGGATGTTAACTAACAAGTCACAGTACCAGACACCCCCACCCTCCTATGCACACCGCTGAAGACAAATCAATGAGATATTTGCACCGACAATGTAAGTGCGGTAACAGCATGCACTCATCAAGATTTTGCGTACTACTTGTGGCCCAAAGCAAGGGGACAGAGAGAGAAAAAAACTCTCAGGTGCCCCAATCCTTTGCTTTCCGCTACCCAAGTGCCATTTATTTATTTATTTTATCAGAAGGTTAAATGCAGGGAGCATCTTCAGTCGGCCATCACCTCACTCAGGGGTCATTCTCCTCCTTCTTAACGGACCCCTTGCCACGTCTCGGATATTTAAATGGTCAGCCTTTTCGACCGATTAAATGGAAATATAGGTCTATTCCGAAAAACCGGTCGCCATTTTGATGAATGATAAACACAGAAATGAAAATGTGTCCGGGACAGCGAGGTGCGGGGCAGGTGCAGGGGAGGGGGCGCGGGAGCCGCCGGTTCGGGCTGGAGGTGTCCGGGCCGCGGGAGGGAAGGGAGGGCGGCGGGAAGGAGGGAGGGAGGGAGGCAGGGGCGGGCGGCGGGGGATGGGGCCAGCGGGGAGGTGGAAGCGATACCCACCGCCCGTATTGGTCCTCTTGGTGCTGCCGGCTTCAGGGGGGGCTTCCAGCGGCCTTTTCCGCGAGTCCGGCGGGTCCAGGTCTATGGGAACCCCAGTATGGGTCCCGTTCTGCTGGATGGGAGCTGCCGCCATCATGTTTGCAGTTCCTGCCGCTGCTACGGGGAGAAGGTTCTCCCTTTTGTTTTGGCTTTTTTTTTTTTTTTTTGCGTTTGGGATTTCTTAAGGTTTTTTTTTAATCGGATCAATAGAAATCTCTTTAAGAAAAAAAGCTATGTTGCTGGTTTGTTCTCACTGGGGAGGGGGCAGGGCTGAGGAGCAGCTGCAGTGCAGTGTCAGAAAGGAGACAGGGGAATGGAGGGGGTGTGAGAGACGGAGGGTGAAAGAAGGAGAAGAAAGGAGAGAGGGGGAGAGAGTGGAGAAGAGAGAGGGGCGAGTGAATGAGCGGGAGGAGGGGAGTGGGGAGGACGGGCAGAGGGAGTGGGAGAGCGCGAGGGCTGGCGGGGCGCGGGAAGAGGGAAGAAGCCGAGGAGGAGGGGAGAGTAAGGGAAAGAGTGAATGAGCAGGAGGAGGGGAAGGAGGTGGATGCGGAGAGGAGCGGGCGGCGGAGGAGGGCAGGAGCCGGGATGGAGCGCGGCGGTGGCCGCGCTAGCGCTGCGCTCGCTCCCGCTGCTGGAGCTGCCGCCGCTGCCGCTGGAGCGGTTCTGCCGTTGCCTGGGCTGCTCGGCGCTGCTGCTGCTGCTGCTGCTGCTGGGTCTCACTCATTATTTCTCCCGCTTGTGGGGGGGGCGGGGGGGCTGACGGGGAGGGAGGGGGATGGCTGCGAGGGGAGGGTAGTGAGGGGTTGAGTTCGTAGACTCCCACACACTTCGCGCTCGGGTCCTTGCCTCTCAGCAGCGCGCCACCGCTGCCTCCCAGCGCCGAAACCTCAGCCAGCGACGGGGAGGAGGAGCGGGGGTTGGAGAGCCTGGGGCCTGGGGGCGTGCGAGTGTGTCCGCGCTCGAGGGCCGAGCGCGTGCGCGGGGGCGCGCGCTGGAGCCTTGTGGCGGGGGCGGGGGCTAGGGCGCTCCCTTGGGAAGGGTGGGGGTGAAAGGTTGCGGGTCCCCGGCAACACGGCTCAGGCAAACGTAAGCGGCTTGTCGCAGAAACCAAGGGGTCCAAGAAACGCGCTAGGTTGGAAGGCGGGAAGCAGAGATTACTGACAGCCTTACCAGCCAATAAAGTGGGAATGTGAGAAAGGCTCTTCAGCCCCCTTCCCAATCAGAAAACTTGGGTGCGAGAGCGAGTGAAGGGGCGGGGTGGCATCTGGGTCCCTTCGGGACTGGAGCGGCGACAATTTTGGCTAGTTTGAGAAGGGCATTCGAGTGGCTGTTGACAACCGGTGGGACAGCGTCAACGCTGAGGGAAGAACGTATATTGTATGCTTCTAGGACTCCTTCCGAGGTATTAGTTCTTATTTTTAAGAGTCGAGTAAAAGACATCAGTTAACATCTCACTCATCGGAGATTTTCTACGGAATGATTAATCAAAAGAGTATTCATTACTCGCACTGTGTAACATCGTTAGGGATCTTACAATGTTACTCGCCACCTTAAATCCTTTCGGGAACAAGCCAGGATATAAATAAATAAAGCTAAGTATGGGTCTTCCCTTTACGAATGGTTGGTAAGCAGACTAAAGACAGGCAACAGCTGAATGTGTACAGAAAATTAAATATTGATCGAAATATGCATATAGGAATAAAATTTATTACAATGTGCACAGCCTATGATTTTACAGATCTTGGATATACTACGAACTTGAACCTTAATCCTAGAACACTTAAGAAGATAAATCTAATGTAGCTGGAATAGACCCTGAAAGTCTGAAAAGAGACAGTTTACAGATGAGTAACGGGATTCAGTGAAGTATATTGCCCAAGGTCATCTAGCAGGTTAGTAGTTGAATTAATCAGTGTTCTAGGAAGCAGGGTCAGTGGCAAAGCATAAGCTTTGGAGTCCAAAATCTTGATTTCAATTCTTTGCAGACATGCTCTAAAAATGTGTCGGGCAAAGCCCTTAACATGTTGGTACTTACTAAGGGCTTACCATGTGCCAAGTGATTCACTTTACATATGATGTTCTTTATAGATGTGTATCATGTAGTTCTTACCGCAACCTTTTAAAAGAGGTTTTTAGGTTTAGAGGCATTAGTTTACCCTAAGTCAAACAGGTATAAACATTGTAGCAATAATTCACACTCAGTTCTTCCTGTTCCAGTCTGGTCTCTTGAATACTGCAGTACACTAGAACTTAAGGTTCCATCACACTGAAAAGAGGGGCTGCAAACCCAGCTCCCGCAATTCTTATGAGCCAAATGAGATAATGTACATGGCAATGTAATATAAGATTTAAAAAGTATAAACATATTCACCAAATTTCTCTAACAAAGATGCTCCTTCCCTATATTTTCCACTACAGCACTTCAACCTGAAAGATGGCTTTATTGTTAAGCAAGCATAAGAAAGAACTTTGCTGTAATTCTATAGTATTCAAACAAGGATACCTGCATATCTGAGGCAATAACCAAAGAGAATAAAATTTAATTCCTGCTAGAGAAGGGAATGGAAATGAATACTAACCCAACTCCTAGAGTGCATTCTTTATTGGAAGGAGCATCCAGAAGGCATTGGGATCTCTGGTGCTTTTTAAGTAATGAAAGATAGATGATAGTCTGCTGAACAAGGAAGAGAATAATGTACAGTTCTAGAATAAAAGCTCATCCAGTATATAAAAAAACTATAAAAAACACAATTGCCTCAACTCAGGGAATAATATATGCGGAGAGCTGAAAGAATGGGAAAGCAATAAGTTAGTGCATATTGGTAAAGGTTTGTGAACCAGAGTCCAGAATTTTTAATACAATGTAATAGGAAACCACAGCATAGCTTTCATGACCAAAATAAAGACGATTTATACACAGAATTGGATGTAAGCAAACAGAGCTGTGATAGGGGAAAGAAAAAACAGGGCTAGGGATAAGTATGTGGTAGTCAAGATAGAAAAAGGCTGATGCCAGACATTGTGGAATCAGTGTTCTGTGAAGTGTACAAAAATATGTAAGGATGTTTTTAAAAAGAAAATTAGGGCTTGGATTTAGTACTAGACTGTTTTGAAACAGTAAAAGATGGGAGAGAGAGAGAATTCAAAGACAAAGGTAGTTCAAAGCTATGTTACATTAAAGCTTGGGCAAAATAATCAATAGAATGTAGTTTTGAATTGGAAAAAGACTTAAATTTGGAAAACATGCTGTTAATAAATTTCTAAAAATAAAATACTTCTAAAATAGTTTAGAAAAATATATGTATTACCATGCATAAGTTAAATTGCCTTATAGACAAAAGCTTATTGAGTTTCATGGCAGTTTATTTTTATGGTATTTATTTAATCCTTCTCGTATTCACTTTTCAGACTTAATATTTAAATATTACCCACCACTTCGTGGAGCTCAGAACCGGAAGTTATGACTTTTAATGTGAATACCATGCTTTATAGTAACCTGGCAATGATGTGCTAGAAATTACAGAGACTATCCTAATACCTGGTCACTAAGGATCAGTATCTATGAGCTGATTTTGTCAATGACAATTATCAGAGATTACATTCTAACTAAACCTCTGTTCTCTAGTATGTTTTGTTGTTTTTTTTTTAAATTATACTTCATTTCACACTTACACCCCTACCATTCTGGTTAAATAGAAACGAACATTCTGTCTGTTGTTTTCTGCATTTTTCTACCAACCAGTAAAACTGAAGAAATACAAAAGCAGCTCCCAGTTTATTGATGATTACACTATACCACTTATACTACAAATAAACTGAATGAAATTTTCAAAAAATATAATAGAGGCATTTGACCTTTTAATTTTATGTAAAGAAATACTTTATTTTAGTTAGTCAGGCAAGCACAGCTGAAAATTTCATAATATTTTCTAACACCTTAAGACATAAGAGAACTTGTGTACTTTTCCTTATTAATTAGTTGATGAGTTATAAACATAAGCAACTGTAATAAAAAAAGTACTAATCTGAAGAACAGAATCCCCAGTCTTTATCAGATTTCAGTAGGGGGGTCTTTTCCTTCCTAAGTTTTGGTCTGAGTAACATGAAAGTGATTATTGGTATTCTAGAGAAAGCACAGATACTTGATGTCCACAAATGTTCCTAAACCCATTTCTTTGTCTCCATGCTCCTGCTTTCCTACAATCAATTCTGTTACTAAAGAACATAAATATTCCCTCTACTTGAGTATTTCTTCAGCCTATGCTTTGGGCAAGTATTTGCTGAGTTTGTGTTCTACCAGAATTAGAACCTGAGTTTAGAACTCAAGTGCAAATAGTTTATTTTGGAAGTGATTTCAGGAAACACTGTGGGGACTTGGGAAAGTAAGAGATGGAATGGAAGAAAGCCATTCAGTGAAGGGTGAATTACCAAGCAAGTTATCATTGTGTGCATACAGCTTAATCTCATTGCAATTCCTGGAAAACCGTTTAAAACAGTAGCCTCAGAATAAAGTGTGAAATAACTGAGGTATATAGACACCAACTCCCTCAAGTCATTGGTGGAAATCCATTCCTAGGCTGCATTAATTCAGTGTATGCTAACTGGTCTTCCAACACAGTGCTGCGTCTTTTAATGTGAACTTTCCCTGGAGGCTGAAACCTGTTCTGTCTTTACACAGGCTGGAAATGCTGGGGAACTAACACACCATGTGGCTGTGGAACATCCACACCATGTGGCTGTGGAACATCCCCCACCATTATGGAAAATCAAGCCAGTATACTCAGCAATAGCCAGGCAGAGAGTAATGGGTAGGGCACTAACCGTTTGTTACAAGTATCACTATAAATTTAGGAAAAAGGAAAATAAGCTTACCTGTATCTGCAAGGTATTGGAAGATCAAATAAATATCAGAGTATTGGGAAAGCTTAGAGTACTCATAACACAAACAAAAATAACCTAAACTTTTATAATTATCACAATCCAAATATTGTAACCACACATTGATGGTAAAAAGCCTGAGTTGCTTTTTTTATATTTAAAAAAAACAGATTTTTAGTTTTTTAAGATACATGAAAAATCAATGTACCTATTTTGTTGGCTTTTTTTATTCAATATAGCGCAAAAAATAGGAGCAAATGTATACTGAAAAATATAACACCTCATTGAACATCCCAGGTTTCATATAGTAAGTTTTATAAATAGATGTATTGATTAGAAATACTTTTCTAAGATCAAACTTCTTAGGGAAAAATGATTTATTGAACTTTTATCTTCTCAAAAATTAAAATAGCTTTTATGTTTCTGTATTAAATAATATAAATTCACTGTTGGTAGCTATGTTTATGAAATAGTCTATGAAGGCTCATACTAATTTATGTAGAAACATAAATGTGTTGTTAGCATTATTTCAAAAAATG